GTCTTAACAAATAACGAAAATTCCTCAATTCCTACAGTTTTTCTTTCAGTAACTTATTTGTTATTTCTTGACCTCATACTTCCTCTTTGATCCTTTGATATTTTATTTTCGTAAATATACATAATTGTATTTTATTTCTATTAATAGATTTATTAGAAAAAGTAGATTGTTAATTTCATGTTTTCACATAAATTTACTTTATTTATATTATCACTAATATTTGGTTCATCTAAATCAGTTTGAAATTTTACACATTCAAAACAATGGTTTAAAATTAAATCTAGTCACTAGAAAGTTATAAATATAAAAATTCAGATTTGTTACTTAATGATCAACAAGATTTTTCTAAGAGATTTAAATATATTGCGTCATTCTTTATTAATTTCTCTACTATCCTTATTGTAAGGAACATACCTATTTATATACTTTGGTTTCTGTTTATAAATATACAACTTTAAATTAAATAGGACCAAAAACTATCAACATTTTAATTTTCACTTCAAAAATGGACCATTAAAATAAAAAATCTTATTCGAATACAAACAAATTTGCCTGATATTATATAAAACAATTTTTCACCAATTTTACCACCAGAAAATAATGCGCTAATAAATTCTAAAAATAGTTATTGATTTATTAGTAGCTAGATAAATCAATTATAAATAATGATAATAATTACGAATAAAACTGAGTTTCTTTGTTTTGTGAAAAAATTAAATTATTGATCTCTTTTATCTGTTATATATAAGCAGAAACCTTTATTAACCGCAATTTGTTTAATATTTATTTAATAAAATTAATTTTAATTTTGGACCCATAAGTATTCAGTGTATTAGGATCCCTCGAATTTATTTTGAAAAGTATATTAAATTCAATATATTGTTGAATTTTAAATATTTAAATAAAAAAAAACTAATAAAACTATAAGTTTCTAATTTTAATATTACGATATATATAATATTGATAAATTCTATAAATTTATTTGTCTCAATTTCAAAAGGTTGAAGGAATTCCAAAACACCTTTTATGGCATAATAATTATTTTCAATTCTACATACTATCTTTAGCTGCTTTTAAAAACGTTCTAAGAAAGTCCAATCAGACCAATTTAATCCCTAAACTATTCCACACTTTTAAAATTTAATTACCTAAAAATATTAAAAACTATTTAACTTGTTTAGCAGACTGTACAATAGCTATCTTAGTCACACGTAGCGCGTTCTCTGTCTGGGCGTCGAACACCTCTAGAAATTTGATGAACTGTACAATAGTTCATTTTCTCCCTCCAAATTTCATCAGTTTAAGTATCACCGTTTAAAAGAAAAGAAGGGGGAAGGGGACTTTTTCATTTCATTTATAAATATTTATTCAAGTTAAAGATAATACATTGTACGTCTACAACAAAAATAGTATATGAAGAGATCTTCTTCATCATTCCTTTCTGGGGTATCCTGGGAAGGTATGGGCTGATGTTCTGCCTGTATTTTGGAGTACACGTTTGTCATCGTGAGTATTGCGAGTCAACTCCTTACCAGATAGTTATTATTAGACTGTTATGATTTCCAATGCTGAGAGCGGTGAGTGGTATGTGTAAATGTTATGTTGGAGTTTAGTTTTGTCTGATTTCCCTGAAAAAGCTCTTGAAAAGAACATGGTTTTACGATGTATGTTTGTTTGTTGTATGCACTATTCTCATACTGATCGGTGATTGGCCGCCCAAGAAATCGAGGAGAGCCAGTAGCAGTCCTCGATTAGATGCCCCGCCCACCACCGTTCAGTATTCGCCGACTAAGGTATATTACCCATCGTCGTTTTCGAATAGTGCATTAGTAGCACTTTACATGCAAAGCCTGTCTGCGTCTGTTAGCTTTATTTTGTCCTTTTTCAGTTTCTGTATATTGAAAGTCCCTCGTGTAGCCATGCATGCTTCCTATTTGCGTTGTTTCTTATGTTAATATTGTATATGTCTTCCTTAAGATGTTGAGGAAGACAGTATTTGTAGAATCTTTCGGATATATTTATTATGAATTGTTTAATAGGAAGTATGCAGACGTTGTCGTGCATGTTCGTTATCCTGGTAAACCTTCTACACCTAAGGATTAGCCTCAGACACCTATTTTGAATGATTTGAAGTTTATTAAAGTGTGTTTTGGCTATTTAACAAAAGATTGGACATCCATACGTTAAAATGGGTCTGATTATTTGCTTATATATTAGCATCTTGTTTTGTTTGGAAACTTTGCTGTTTCTAGCTAACATTGGATAAAGGGTTCGGATCATCCCTGTGGCTTTACCTACCCTATTCTTTATGTGATTGTAGAACGTTAATCTCCTATCTAGATGAAAACCTAGGTATTTGATCTCGTTTTTAGGCTGTATTGTTTGACCTTGGATTTCGAGTTTCGTGATTATTTTACCTTTGTTTCTTTGGGTGATCAGAGTGTTTTCCGTTTTTCCCGGATTAATTTTCATTTTGTTGTCATCTAGGTAGGGGATTAACGTTCTGTTTATGTGGATGTCCAATCTCCTGGTGGCAATTTCGGCTGAATCAGATGATTTGAAAACACAAGTGTCTTCCGCGTACAGTGCCGTCTGGACACCATTAAGACCCATGGGCATGTCATGTGTCATAATGGTGTACAGATGCGGCAAAAGTACTGATCCTTGGGGTACTCCGGCCTCCGCTCTGTATGGTCCGACTCTAGTTATTAATTTTGATGTAAAATGTTCTGTTTTGTAAGTAGGAGTAAATTGTTTTTATAATGTGAACGGGATAGTCATTCACAATCATTTTGTGGATCAACCCGGAGGTCCAGACAGTATCGAACGCTTTTTCGGTGTCAAGGGCCACTAGTACTGTTTGTTTGTTGTTATTGAATGCCTTTTTGGCATGGTGTGCAATGTTAAGAATTTGTGCAACAGTACTGTGCCCCTCCCTGAAGCCGAACTGTTCCTTCGGGATGATGTTTTTGTCCTTTTCTACGTTAAGTAGTTGTTTTAGTAGTACCTTGTCGATGATCTTTGAGATACCAGACAACAGTGTAATTGGACTGATTTGGGGTTTTTGTTAGCTTTTTTAATTGGGATGACGTTGGCAGTTTTTAATGTGGGAGGGTAATGTTGTAGTCTAATGACGGCATTTACAATGTGATGTAGCTGAACGATTGCCTTTTTTGAGAGGTTTCTCAGTAGGATGTTATTGATTTCGTCCGGACCCGGGGCCTTCCTACCTTTTAACCTGGACAGTTGTTCCCAGATTTTTTTGGGGGTTGTGAGGTAATTAGATGTTAAATTTGGGGAGGGCCGGTTTTGGAATTCTGTTACGAAATTATCAATTCCTTGTTGTTCTTCGTTATTGTTTTGTGCGTTTTTGAAAATGTTCTCCGAAAACAGCGCCTTTTTCGTAGTTGGTTATGTAAGTTTCATGTCCTCTCACCAGTGTGGGGAGTTGCGAATACGGTTTTTTGAAGTGATTAGCAATTCTCCACACTGAGTTGTCGTTGGGATAAACCGCTTCCAGGACCTTCTGCCAGTTTCTATTTTTAAGTTCTTGAATTTGTCTGGCGATATCTAGGAGCATGATCCTGTCAGCGGGTTGTCTGTATGTCTGCCATCTCTTCCTAATTAAGTTTTTTGTGTGTATAGTGTCTAGTATGTCTTGTGTGAGTATTTCTTTGTAGGGTTTGACGTGCATTTTTTGTGTACTTCTGTCTCTTGCGTATTTGATTGCGTTTGTAAAGTATTCTAAGTTAATGTCGATGTCTTGTGTGGTTTCCGCCCCGGTCTGTTGATGTTGGTGTCTAACGTCCGTCTGAACATAATCCAATCAGTTTTGGAGTAATCTAAAAAGCTACCTTGAGTTCTTTGAGTTTTATTTGCTACTCTAATCTCTAAATAGACTGGATCATGATCAGAGCTTAGGGTTGAGATGGTTCTCATGTTGTACACGTCCGGAATGTTTTTTGTAACAGCTATGTCTAAGGTGCTGGGGGTAAGACCGCTAAAAGGAAAATATGTAGGTTCGTCCGTGTAGTGTATGTTAAGGTCGTTGTTTTCGGCAAATTCTTTCAGAACTGTACCACTTGTGTTATGCCTATGGCAGTTCGCGTCCCAATCGGGGTGTTTACTGTTCAGATCACCTAGCAGGATGACCCTAGGGCCGGACGCTATGATTCTGTGATCTGTCCTTTTTAAAGTGATGTGTGGCCTGTTGTAAGCCCCTATTAAAGTTATGTCACTTTTGACTTTTGAGAAGCACTGTATATAAATCCTATCTTTTTCTTGAAAAAAAAAAAATAGTTAAGTATATTCAATTGGGTAATATAATGCAGATAAGTCACCAGTTGCGAATTCTAAACGGGTAAAAATCTCATTATCTTGGTTATAGAAATGATTTTTTAGAACTCGAATGTTCAAAAAAATTAAAAACCTGAATTCGAATTAATATAACAAAAATTAATCATTAAAAAGAAAAAGGGAAAAAACTGGTACTTAAAATAAATATTTCTTTTATGTATGTATTTGCATTTATTTTTCTTCATAGCGTTCCTTAACTATTCAATAATAATATCCTTACATATTTTATGTAATTTCTAAAATATCTTTTAATATTCATGAAATTTCTGAAAATTCCTCACACTTAGTATTTGGCCGTTCTATTTTTGACTCTGTTGATATCCTACCTTCTTTTTCATACCATACATGGACACTAATAACGGAACATGGACGGATTTACGGAATTTGATTCGCCAACATAACTGATGGTTATCAAAAAGTTAATCCTGGAAATATGTTTAGAAAGTGTATACTTACACGGTACCAACGTCGCATTAGATCCATTAATAATTTTTCAAGTCTCCTATGTGTCCATCAGCAGAAGTTGGAGCAATATAAATAAAACTGCACAACGTTTATTTATTTTTTTTTATTTTTTTCATAAATAATAACAAACTTAAAATATATAAAATAAAATTAAAAAATAAAAAAAAAAATAAAAAAATTTATGTCGGAGGCGCCGCGTGTATCGAGCGCCTCCTCAAAAATATCCTTCCAGTGGTTGGAAACTGTCTAGCGAGTAATATCAACGAAGATGCCAGCGCTAATTTCACGGATGCACTCTGTCCTCCTGGTAAACTGACAAAAACCGTGGCAACCGCTGCTACATTATCACCTGCATCAAACAAAAAAACTGCATTATATATGTTTTCATAACTGGCGGTTTTTATTAGGTAGCAATTCACTCATTTAATAAGTTCTAAATTCAGTACTTTTTCAACTTTTTCAGTAGGTCAGTGTTACGTTGTTAGTTTTAGTATGTTTTTGTTAAAAATAGTCAAATTAGTACCATTTTTAGTACTATTTGGACATTTTTCGAATAAAGTTGACGTATTTTATCAACAAAATAGTCAACTCAATACCATTTTCAGTACTATTGTACAGGGTTCGGAGGATATATATCAAGTGATATATATCATGATATATATCACGATATATATCATGATATTTATACCTTGATATATATCCGATATATTCGATAATTTTATTTTTTTAATTAAAAATGTTTTCCACCATTCTGAACATTCGAAAATATCTCAATACGCCCTGCATAAAAGTATAATAACTAGCGATTTATATGTGTTTGTGTTAAAATATTTTCGCCGTAACTAGCAGTACATCGGATGTACACGAAATATTTGTACATCGGATGTATCCCAATTATTTGTACATCATAATTCAAACCTAACTTCATTTCAGACGATTGAGTGGAAAACTTAAGTATTTTTCTGTTGGTCCTTTCAAGCAAATGGGCACTTCATGAATTAATTTTTGTTTCTTTTTAATGAAAAATTTTGGCAAGTGGCTATGGGTTATAACCACATTCGATCCGTACATGACAGCAGCGACAATTCATTATTCGAACGTGTCTTTGTCGCATACATCTAATAATAAGAAAATATACAATAAGAAAACGAAGCAACTTCTTGTAAAAATGTTAGCCATATCTGGCTACGCCGATCGGCATAGACTCCAACAGCCTAGACTCCGCTCAAATTGTTGTATGTTGAAGAACCGATCAATACGAAAATAAGAATGCTTTAAGAGAAGTTCTCAAAATACAACCTATTACAAAAGAATCGTATTCTATTTTAAAAAATTTATTGAATATATTGACCTTCGTGTATTGAAAACACTCGGTGAACCTGGAGAATATTGGGATAATTTAATAATTAATACTATATATTTAAAACTCGATAGCAGAAACAAATAAAAATGGGATTCAAAAATAGCAAAGAGTAAAAAAACTGAAAAAACTTACTTTCAACGATTTTATTGATTTTGTCCACGACCACCTAATAATAAATCAATATTGTACCTCCTAACTAAAAGCATATAGTACCCATATATCACGGAGTGAATTATGATAATTCACGCTTTTGTAATTCTGGCACATTCCGGTAGATAACTAAAGATAGACGATACTTTTCATAACGATATTTTCTAGATCGAAAAATCAAAAAATCGATAAATCAAAAAATCGAAAAATCGAAAAATCGAAAAATCGAAAATCGAAAATAGTATTAGACTCGCAATTTATGGCCATTATTTGCTCGTTTAATAATATACTATTATACAAGAGCGGTGTGACCGATTAAAAGGCATTCATGACGATACTAAATTTGCTAAAATAGCAACACCAATTTCTACAAAATTTAAATCCAAATCCTTAACTGCCACCACTAGCGCAACTTGCTCTTTTTGCAAAGAAAACCATACAATACAAAATTGTTCCAAATTTTTAAACTTAAAGTCAAAAGGTAGATATGAACAAGTGAAACAATTACATTTATACATTATCTATTTGAGAAATAATCATAGCACTAAAGAATGCATAGCCAGTAAATGTCGCAAATGTGGCAAAACTCACCACACCCTTTTACATTTCAATAAAAACCCTACATTCCAAACTAAATCTGATCCTAAACCGGAAACAGATTCTATCAAAAACACTGAAACAATTATACAACCTGTTGTAACTACTACGTCTTGTTCCGTAGGAAACAAAAATTGTGTTCTATTATTCACTGCATTGATTCAGGTGCAAGATAATGACCAAAATATCCGTGAGTGTAGAATTCTCTTAGACAGTGGTTCTCAACATAGTTTTATAACTGAGGAACTATCGTCAAAATTGAACCTAACTAAAAATAAAATACACGCTTCAGTTTCTGGACTAAGTGGAAATAATTCCACTGTCACTACAAGTGTTAAAGTAAATATTTCATCAAGAACCACTGCATTCAACGCATCTTTATCTTGTTTAGTTATCAACAAAATCACATCCTATCTTCCTTGCATTGCATTTAACAAATCTATTCTAGAAATCTGATCCCAGTTTCAATATCAGCTCTCAAATCGATATGCTGATAGGGGCAGACATCTTTTGGGACATACTGTGTGTTGGTCAAATTAAACTCACTGACAGTGCTCCTATACTACAAAAAACCCTTTTCGGTTGGATTATTTCTGGCCCAATATACTTGCACAAAATTCAACATACTGGTATTTGTAACCTTGTTACAGATTCAAAGATTCAAACTATAACTCTTTAAACTCTCTAGATAAAAAACTTGAAACATTTTGGGATATAAACGAATTTCCTATTAAAAAACACTATTCACCTAGTGAACTCTATGCTGAAAAACATTTCACAAAAAATATTACTCAAGATGCTTCCGGTCGTTTTATTGTAAAAATTCCTTTGAAGGAACCGACCACCAAACTTAGTGATTCCCGATCACCAGCTGAAAAAAGATTCTACTATTTAGAAAATAAATTTTCCAAAAATCCTAATCTGAAAACTCAATATACTAACTTTATTCATGAATATATATCGCTAGGCCATATGTCGTTAATACCATATACCAAATCCGGTTTTTTCCTTCCTCATCACTGTGTCTTTAAACACGATAGTACAACCACAAAATTACGTGTGGTCTTTGACGGATCCGCCAAGACCGCCTCTGGTTACTCGGTAAATGACCTAATGCATGTTGGACCCACAATCCAAGATGATCTCTTTTCAATTCTAATCCGCTTTAGAAAGCATAATTTTGTATTAACTGGAGATATTGCAAAAATGTATCGCCAGGTGTTGGTGACCCCTGAGCAACGATGCTTGCAACGTATTCTCTGGAGGATGATCCCTCAAAACCTCTCTCTGTATTTGAGTTAAATACAATCACTTATGGCACGGCCTCAGCAGAATTCCTCTCAATAAGATGTTTACAAGAGATTGCTCATAAAATATCTGATAAAAATCCTCTTTTAAGCTCCATTATTCTAAAGGATTTTTATGTAGATGACCTTTTAACCGGGGGATCGACTGTTGAAGAAATCAATTACATAAAGTCTACTCTCACTGAAATTCTTTCTTTATGTGGGTTTCCTTTGAGAAAATTTGTATCTAATTCTACACTTTTTGCAAACAATGAACATTCCTCAGAACTTCCAAAAAATCTTGGGCATGATGAACCTGTCAAAACTCTCGGCCTTTTATGGCACCCTAATAAAGATATATTAAGCTATACAACAAATGCTCTTGCTCATGCAAATATAACTAAAAGATCTATCCTTAGCATAGTGTCGACCATTTTTGATCCACTTGGATTATTACTTCCATTCATCGTAATTGCAAAATTAATAATTCAGAGACTTTGGCAACTACATATTACGTGGGACGAGTCTATCCCACTTCATCTTCATTCTCTTTGGTCTAATTTGAAATCACAAATACCTCATCTAGCTGACTTATCTATTCTAAGACATCTCATCTCTCCATCTTTCAAAACTATAGAATTACATGGCTTTGCGGATGCATCTGAGTATGCATATGGTGATGCAATATATGTAAAGTCAATAAACCAAACAGGTGACATTAATTGCCACCTTCTTTCTGCCAAAAATCGAGTATCTCCTTTAAAAACTATTACTGCTCCTAGATTAGTGCTGAGTGCAGCCTTACTATTAACAGAACTCATGGACAAAGTAAAGTCATCATTAAACGTACCCGTAAATAATATATACTATTTTTCAGATTCTACAATCACTATATCTTGGGTAAAGGCTTCTCCACATCTCTGGAAAGTCTTTGTAGCTAACAGAGTAGCTCAAATTCTCTCCCTTTTAAAATGGCCTAAATTAAATGAATTTTCACTCTCTCCAACTGATTTACCAGAACTTAAATCAAAGTCAGTTTCACTGCCAGTCGTTATCTCTGAAGATTTTTATAAATTTCCAGCATTAAACAAACAATCAAACCTTAATAAACTCATTAGAATATTCGCATATATTATACGATTTACAAAAAATGCCAAATCAAAAAATTCAATAATATAGCATGACCTTACTCCTGAAGAGTTAGATCAGTCAATGAATGTTTTAGTTAAACAAGTCCAATCAGATTACTTCTGCACAGAAATCAGTGGTATTCGAAAAAAACAACCAATACCCTCATACAGTAAAATTTTAAAACAATCTCCATTTTTAGATACAACTGGAACTCTCCGTGTAGGAGGCAGACTTAAACGTTCAAATTATGACTACTTTAAAAAACATCCAGCAATTTTACCAAAGGGTCACAAACTAACAACTTTAATAATTTCCTCTGAACACAATAGGTTAATGCATGCTGGTCCTCAACAAACCTTGTTTTCTGTCAGAGAACGTTTCTGGCCTTTAAATGGCAAAAATTTAGTCAAAAAGCTCATACGTCACTGCGTCATATGTTTTAGGCTTAATGCAAAACCAATTCAACCCTTGATGGGCGAACTACTTCCAGAGAGGGTCACCCCTTCCAGACCGTTATTTTTTACTGGAGTGGATTATGCTGGTTCTTTTAACCTTAAAGACAGGTCACTCGGAATTACAAACTTGTTAAGGCATATATATGTTTATTTATATGCCTATCCACTAAGGCACTGCATTTAGAATTAGTCAGTGACTTAACGAAAGTTACATTCCTTGCTGCACTCAAGCGTTTTTCTGCAAGACGTGGAAAACCGTCAATAATGTATTCTGATAATGGAGTACCAATTTCGTCGGCGCCAATAATCAACTAAAATTATTTTTTAAACAAGAAACTACTTATATTAATCAAAACTTATCTAGTGA